CCCCCCCCCCGAACCTGAGAGAGAAGGGAGATCACACACTTACACGTACAGCACGGTCCTGGTGTCACCCACTTTGCCCGCATCACCCACGGTCAGGGTGTCGTAGCCTCGCTCCAGCTCGAACTCCTCGAAGGCCAGCTTGATGACCTGCGTTGGGGACAGGAGAGAGGACTTCAGCGCAGCAGGGACCTCACTCCTGCAGATGCCCAGGGCGGTGCTGAGCCTGACCCTTAATCCCATCGTTTCAAGTGGTCTCAGGCTGCTTTGTAAAGTAACAATATAGATAAGTGTATACATCTGAGAGCCCTCAATTGTAGAATTTTATAGAAGTAAAAATTGCTGTTACTCCAAAGATATGGATCATCAGCTCTAAAAATGAAATTAACCCATATACACGTCAAGGCAAATATCAAGTATTTTGTTTTAAGATTTTTAGTGTTTGGAATGACAGAAAGATGACTCAGTATAATCAAAAGCAACGTTGACGTTAATGAAATACATTTTAAGGATACCTAGAACACCACGGAGTGAATACTTTGAGTAATACATGCATATTTTCTGCAGTTATTTATATTAACACGAAAAATAACTTCTGAGACTAGGAAGTTGTCCTCCGCATTTCACTTTGCAAAGCCTTGAAGTGTTATTTTTATTTTCATTTTTATAAAGAACACATTGTCGTGGTGACTGGCACATGACGGCTATACAAGCCCGGCTCATCGCTGACACCGATGTACTAATATTCCACGAACTCCCGTGCGTGGAGCGCAGGCGACAGGGAGAGAGGTGGGACGGGTCGGTAGATAAGGGACAGAGGGGCCGGGAGAGGAAGAGAAACACGGAGACCGCGGGCAGGAGGTATATTTAGTGGGATCTGTCTCAGAGCAAATCAGACTCTCTGGAGTCTTGTTAAAAAGCATCCAGTGCCTGATTGTTAAACTGAAGGAAGGCGTCAGTGGTGCCCGCGCAAGGCGGGCTTCTGACTAACCTCTGGTTTGTGGGCCCGGTTCTGATCCGGCTCCGACCCGAGCTCTATCACACAATGCTGATACAGAATTCGTTCCTTTTGCTGTTGAAATTCTTGCTAAAATTAGTGATATAGGTATTATAATTTACTTTAAAATCTACTCTTGCAGATTGTGCTGTTTACGTGCAAACGCTATTTTAGGGATCTGATCTGAAACAGGTGTGAGGCTGCCAGCTGCTGGGAACCAGTATAAATATGGCCCAGGAAGCTGGCGCCGGAGGGTGGTGGTGGTTCAATTTCTTTTTCTTTCTCATGGGTCCATTTATAAGTGACCATGTCCAGCCTCCCTCCCATCATCGCCTTCCCCAAATGCTTGCTCAGCCGTGACTGAGCGACACCTGCAGAGAAACATCAATAATCCCACAGCACCTGCAGGTCACAGTCGGCCGACCTGCAGTGACTCACAGGCAGGGGGCTCCCTACATACACGTGCTCTCCTTAGGGTGTAAAATGGCCATTTGTAATCCTTTCAGGTCGGGGCAAAGGGTGGTAGATATCTTGTTGGTGTTGAGCCCAGGCAACCATCAGCGGCTGTTGTCAAAGGGCTGTATTTACTCCGTGCTATGAATACTCTGTGCAGAGAGGAAAGGTCGGCCCAGTCCTGTGTAAAAAACCCTCTAGTTTGTCAGAAATATGGCCTTCTAGAAACTTAAATGCAAATATACATTGGTAATGAAACTTACCAATAGCTCTCAATTGGATCGAGCTAGAGATGCAAGTGAGAAGCTATGCTGACAGGATACTTTTTTTAAGGGAGAGAGAGAGAGAGATCGGTTGCCTCCTACATGCGCCCTGACTGGGAATCAAACCTGCAAACTTTTGGTGTATGGAACGATGCTCCAGCCAACTGAGCCACACGGCCAGGGCCACAGAATACATTTTCAGTGAACACCGAGTGTATTTAAGGTGTCCAGCATGATGATCGATATGCATAGTGAAATAACGACTCAGGCGAGCTAACTAACGCTTGCTCACACGGTCACCGTGTGTGTGAGAGCCCCTGAGATCTGCTCTCTTAGCAAGTGTCCAGAGTTCAATACAGTATTATTATTTTTAATCCCCTCACCCAAAGATATGTTCATTGATTTTAAAGAGAGAGGGAGGGAGAGGGAGAGGCAGGGAGAAACATCAAAGTGCTCGGGAAACACCCATCAGCTGCCTTTCACACTCACCCTGACCTGGGGTCAAACCCGCAGCTTGTGCATGTGCCCCGACCGGGAATCAAACGCACAGCCTTTTGGCGCACAGTGCGATGCCCAACCGAGCCCCACGGCCAGGGCTTCCAGCCTTTATTGAATGTCTGTGCTGCCCAGGCCGCAGTGCCAGCAATGAAAATGAACAGAAGACAAAGTTCTGGTCTTCAAAAAAACCCCACAAAAAACATTCAACATCCACAAGGGGCTATGTTGATAAACACAAAGTAATTATAGAATTTTTAACTTTTACAGATAAACATTCCCTAATGACAAGAGATAAAATAAGAAGAAAATGAAAAAGCACAAAGTTCTGGAATTCGAAGTTCTGGATATAAAATGATTACGAATTTGACGCTAAGAGATAAATATTTCCCAATGACTGTAGATGGAATTGTGTAGGTATGAGGGGTTCGCACACCATTTAACTACCTGATTCTTCTTCAGGTTTCTTACAACGGGAGTGGGGAGGGAATTAAATAGAGAGAAAAACTAGGTAAATTTGTACAGCTTCTCTGTCAATACTAACAGTGCAGTGATGACCCTGGTCCATCTCCCTGTCTGGGAACAGCCTGCCCTAAACACCTTCCCCCGAAAATCTATAAAGTAAGCGTTGAGATTGAGTGTTTTCCCAAACAGCTGGCATCTCTGTAGCACCACCTAGCAGTGGGTGCTATTGCACCTCCTGGCTGTCCAAACGGGTCAGAAAACAGCTGATACAGAAGCAAGAATCATGGCTACAATGTCCCCACATGCTCTGCAGGTGTCAGGACCTCGCAGGAGAGAAACATTGTTGCTACTATGATGCAAATACAAATGTCTTTCACTTTGCTGTGCCAGAAAAAATGAGACAGTTCCTTGGTTGTACCAACTGGTCAGGTTTAAAGTAACCAAATCCCTGGAATGGGTGGCAGGGTGTGGCCTGGCCGGGCAGCAAGGGGGCGGGTGGGACAAGGATGGGGCTGAACGCTGCCACCGATGCAGCACCTGCCAGACACCTGGCCATGCTCATGCTTTGCTGTGTCAGGCCAGGGCCACTTAATCCTGGAAGCCTGAGTGGAAATGACTATCTCGGTCTCTCTGTCTGGACACAGCAACTCCTAACTCCATTTCCATCCCGAAACGAACCCCTTATCCTTTGGTTTCCAGATAAACTGCTCCATCTGGCCACACCCCTCTTCCTTTCAGGAGTCCGTGCTTCTCGGAAGAAGTATTGTTGCCAATACTATGGATTCTCTGGAAGGAAGAGGGAGCCACGAAATGTCAGGAGAGAAGCAAGTTGGGGGTGGTGCGAAGATGACAGAGACTAACAGACATGAAATCCCTCAATCCCAAATCATCAAAATGTCACCAAAATTGTCTGCATTATAGAACACTTACCACGCCACAGCCACAAAGGGTAACCAGCTCACCGGGGAAAGCACGGCAATTATGGGGAAACACTGAAATGTTTGCTGTGCAAAATAAGAGACTCAATGCGGAGATCTCCAAGAGAATTTTATTAATCCTGGAATGAAGCCACCAGAGTGTCCCCAGCATTATCTAGAAAATTATCAAATATATTCTCAGATGGATGACAGAGGACAGAGATTTATTAAAAAGGAGAGGCTGGGAATTTAAGGCTCACAGTACAATACCCGCTACAGAACAAATCAGGGTGTTATTACATGCGGTGAAATGCAGAATTAATATTTACAAAACATGGGAATCTATCAGCCAAAGATGTGTGGAGTCACTGAGCTGGAAGTTTGAAGGACAGAAAGATAAAAGAGGGGAAGAGAAAATTATAGATCTGTAGATAAAAGCAGAAGATATTGACGTTTGTCAAGACAGACCTGGGACAAAGGGTGAGATAGTGATCGGAGCCGTCATGGGAGGCCTGTTTTTTGCAGCTGATTACTGTTGAGCGCAGAGCTTACAAACGGTTCCTTATGGCCCCAGTTAAACAGGACACGCCAGCCAGAGAAACAGGAATGCGTCTTTTCATAGAACCGTTTAACTCCAAGGGCCCTCCCCGGAGAATCCACGCCCAGCCAGGGGACAGGTGGTTTCTATTTGCAGAAACGCAAGTCAAAGTGCGTAGTTTTTTTTCCTTTCTTTTTTTTTTTTTCCTGATGCAATAAAACCCAAGAGGTAATAGATCCACAAGACTGAGTCCCAGGTCAAAAGGTAAAGGGCCTTCCTTTTAGCACATTCATTTGGTGAAGAGGTTATATTCTGGGAGAAGGCAGAGAAGATCTTTCACAGACTTTTAAATGTCTCAGGTGTTTTACTGTCACATTCCTTTCCTTCACCTTGGCCAAAATAAATAAATTAATGAACTCCCGAGAAGAGCATTAATTTCAAAGAATTACCTAAAGGGAATTTTGTTTCCCTAAACAAAATAATGACCTAAAGAACTTACATACTGTAGAAAGAGAAGGCTTGAGTTGATCCAAATAAAAACATGTATATTATTTCTGCATGTTGGATAAAAGGGGTGAACACATGAAGTCAGCAGGGGGGACCTCCTGACTCCTGGGATTGGGCTCCTGGAGCCCAGACGCGGCCTCACAGGGCGGTGGCCCGGCCAGAGCAGGTGGCAGGTGGGGCGGCTGACACAGAGGTGACCACGAGGCAGCTGGAACCCAGTAAGGCGGCAACACCAACCCCACAACCAGCTGCCGTCTGAACCCAGGGGCCAGGTTCCGGGCGTCACAGATGGTGGCCACCAAAGCTGCGGGGACACTTACGTGCCTCCATCCCCTGCCACCCATCCCCAGCCTCCACGGCAAAGGTCACTTAGGAGAGCTTGCGTCACGAAGGAGCCGGAGGGTCGGGGTCTACGCTGCGCAGGGACTAGAAGGTGCGAAGCAGGAAAACGCTGACCCTGTCGCCACTGGGGAGGGGCAGTGACGACCTGCAACCGAGCTGCGGTCCCGCCGCAG